GGTTTGCCAAACTGCTGTGGTGTAGTAGACACAACTCACATCATTATGTGTCTCTCTTCAGCTGAACCAAACTGCAAGGTGTGGCTAGACCACGAGAAGAATTACAGCATGGTATTGCAGGCTGTCATTGATCCTGATATGAGGTTCACAGACATTGTAACCGGTTGGCCAGGTAGCATGAAAGAGTCGAGTATTTTACACAGCTCTGGTCTCTTCAGGCTGTGCGAGAACGGTGCACGGTTGAATGGCAGCAAACTGACGGTATCAGACGGGTCAGAAGTTGGGGAATACGTAATTGGTGATGCAGGATACCCTCTTCTCCCGTGGCTGTTCACTCCTTACCAGGAGAATGACCTCTCAGAATTGAAAGTGGAATTCAATAAGAGACACTCTGCAGCCAGAACAGTCGCGCTGAAGGCGCTGGCGAGGTTCAAGGACACATGGAAGTTCCTGCAGGGAGAGATGTGGCGCCCCGACAAGCATAAGCTGCCTCGGATAATCCATGTGTGCTGTCTGTTGCATAACATAGTGATAGACATGGAGGAGGATGCAGCCATGGACGACGCTCATATATCAGATGATCATGACGCTAATTACAGGCAGCAAGTGTGCCAGTTATCAGATGAGAAGGCTGTCAGGATGAGAGACAAACTGTCCGAGCACTTGAACAGCAGTTGACAGAAGAGCTGGATGAAGAATTGAATGTAGGTGCTGCTGTTGATTCCGTCCGTTGCAGGCTTGCAGCTTAGGCTTTGGCTGCATAGTTTTGCGGAGTTTTGGCCAATCTTGACTGATGAAACTCGGTTGTAATCTTAGAGCCGTAGTCCATGCCAATTCGATCTGGCTCATTTGATTTTTTTTATCATCTTGTTGGTGCTCAATGAATATTGCTCTTTACAAGATCGACTATCAACTGTCCCTTTCGGCAGGCGTTTGGAAGCAGCATCAAACATATTCCCTCCGTTCACAAATATAAGATGGTTTGGATACTGAATATAGATTACATGCGGGCAGAAATGAGTGAACAAACACAATCAAACGTGTCTATACATTTGATTCAGAAAAAGTTAGAACATCTTATATTTGTGAATGGAGGGAGGAGTTTACAAGCAACAGAAATTTGTATGGCTCTTTGATTCATTTGATTATTACAATTTCATAGGGAAAACGTCAGATTACAAAGAAAAAAAATTGCGATTACAAATTTATGATGTTGCCCATCTTAAATCGTATTTTAAGGCCTCCTTTAGTTTGTAGGAAATATGTAGGGTAGGATGTAAGGCGCTTGAGGTTACTTGGGCCCGGATGCAGCAACTGTCGCAGAATGTAAGGCACTTGAGGTTGATTTATCAAAACTGGATGTGGTTCACTGCTTCCGTGAAGCCAATGGTGTTGCCGATATGCTTGCGAAAAACTCCCTCTGTAATAGCTCATTTGGGTATTGGGATGGTCCCATACCAGACTTTATTTCTCATCTCGTTTTTCATGATCTTACCATTATATGAGGAATAAAGTTATTTACCCGTAAAAAAAATGTAGGGTAGGATTTTTGAAGGAAATTTTTCTGTAGAGTCCTTTAGTTTTTAGGAATGAATTTCTATTCCTATGTAAGATTGGTTCATATCCTTCACTTTTCAAGGGGGAGAAAATATTAGCTCAGACCTAATGGAAAATTTTCTATGCTATAAACCAAGTGGCATTTCTTCTCTATAGGAACTGAGGTACATGTCATCTTATTTTCTATGACTTTCGTATTTTTTATGGATTTTCTATCCTATGAACCAAAGAAGGCCTAAGGGCCTCTTTGATTCAAAGGATTTTCATGGAAATTTTAAATGACCGGAATGGATGGTCATTTGTTCATAGGATTGAATCCTACATGATTTCTTTCTTCTAAAGATTCATTCATACTAAATTTCATAGGAATTTTGGCATCCATGCAAACCTCTTGGTAAGAATCTTTGTTTTCATGTGATGCTATCAAACAAACCAAAATCTTACAGGATTCAAATAGTCATGGCATGACAATCTTAGGGCTCCTTTGGTTCAAAGGAAAAGTGGAGGAAATTTTCCTTTGATCTCAGTTTCAAAGGAAAAACACATCTTGGACCTCTTTTCAAATTTCTATGCACGAAGAACGAGAAAAGGATCCTTAGTGGCATAATAGCATTCTAACTAAACAGTTTCATGTGATTGGACTTTAATTTGACCATGTTCATTAGAATTCTTGTGTTATTTAATTCATGTGAACCAAACACCAAAACTCACAGAATTCATGTGTTGAGCAATCCTGTGTGTTTGTGCATGAATTCCTATCATATTCCTTTGTTTTTTTATATTCTCTTGTTTTTAGAATCTAGTGAAGCAAAAGAGCCCTTATGTTTTCCCTATTCCCATGTTTATGGAATCCTCCAAATCAAAGAGGGCCCAACACTTGATTACCATGTGAAAGTCATACAAATGTTTATTCAATGACAACATGCAAAACCATTGAGCTAGTAGAGGTTTTCCCCTCTTCTGTTCTTTCTTTGTTATTGTGCTCAAAGGCTCACATTTTCATGTTTTTGAGACATTCTGTGTCTGTTCTTTGGAGATGTTTTTCGCTATTCCTTATTTTTTGAGTTGTCATACGTGTTAGCCCATGTCATTTCATGTGTGTTTTCTTACGGGGATTTTGTCATCATGTCATTGTTTTAATAGGTTTTAGGACAAACGCAATTATGTTTTAGGGCGTGGAAATATTTCTCTCCCACATCCTTGCTCTCAACAACTTCCATTATTGTATTAGCCCATAATTTTTTCTGTTGCACCTTTATTGACCTCACTGTTTTTTCTTCTCTATCACCGTTTGCTATTGTTTTCATGGATATTAGCCACCTTTTCATGTTTCTATGATGTCATGGGTTTGGATAGGTTTAATTGTCTCATTTTCACGGACCAATAATTTTTCCTGGTTTGTTGCTTATAGCATTTGTTAATGTTTTCATTGGTGTTAGTCCACATCATTTGACGTCTTCATACCTATATTTTATACAGAGAGGTCTTTCCAACATGTCATTGTTTCCATATTCTATTTCTTCCACAGGTGTTAGCCCACTTGCATATGTGCTCGCCTTTGCTTCTTGTATTGCTGCCATTTTTTTACAATTTCTTCCGTTTCGTTGATGATTTCTTTCATTGGGGTTATGTGAATCTTTTCCCATCTCTCTCTCTCTCTCTCTCACTCTCTCTCTCTCTCTCTCCTCCAAATATCTATTAATTTCAGGTTCATACTATTTGATACTCCCTTCGTTCATTATTATAAGGTGGTGTTTTCAATATGAACTCTGAAATGAGTAAATAAACACACTAAAATATGTGTGTATTCATTCAATAGAAAAATAGAACACATTGTAATAGTGAACGGAGGGAGTCCATCGCAAAAAAAAGAAAAGAACGGAGGGAGTACTTGTTATGACAACTTGCCGTCATATTCACATTCACCGATGTTTATGTACGGATTCGGGCTATGAAAGGTGAACCCACTCCAAATTTGGCAACTAGATATATCGGGTTTTCTTTTTTGACAAAAACTGGATATACGGTTGGTGTTCAAATGTAAATACAGATTTGTGGTTGATCAAGAGCATAAACAATTAGTTGGATTTCCACTGTCCATCCAAAGCATGAGAAATTAAGTTAGTTGGAGGCGCCAACTCTGCCGATGGATGCATGCTTCCTTACACGCAACCATGCATGCATGCATGCCTTTTTTGCCACCTAACCACCACAATTTTACCTCTCTTATATACTCCATGAGGGGGGCTATGATCAACATCGGTACTTAGGTTGTGATCCCTTCACTGCGCCATGCCCACATCCAAGGCATTTCTCATCTTGGTGCTCGCCGTGCTCACTCCCATGGCGGCGACCTCCCAGGACACGGCGACGAACCTCACCCTCCACAACCTGTGCGCGTACCCTGTGTGGCCGCTCATCACTCCGAACATCGGCCTCCCCGCCATCCCCGACCTGGACGACGCCGCCAGCCGCCTCGACGGGGGCGGAGAGGGGCTCGTCACCCTGGCGTTCCCTTCCGGCGCGTGGTCCGGCCGCGTCGTGGCGCGCACCGGCTGCAGCAGCAGCGATGACTACGACTCCTCCTCCCCCTCCTCCTCCTCGACGGCGGCGGTGGCCAGGTGCGTCACGGGCATGCCGCCGGCGCCGGTGACGGTGGCGCAGGTGAGCGTGCACGGGTCCGGCGGGCTGGCGGAGTACAGCGTGAGCCTGGTGGACGGGTTCAACCTGCCGGTGATGGTGACGCCGCACGGGTTCGAGCAGGGCCGGCAGTGCCCGTCCCTCGGCTGCGCCGTGGACCTCGACGTGGACTGCCCCCGCGACGCCAGGGCCCCCGCCGGCGGGTGCAGGGCCCAGGGTCAGGGGCACTTCTTCAAGGAGAGGTGCCCGGACACTCGGACGACGCCGACGGACGTGGAGGCCACGCCACAGCGCTGCCTCCAGCCCGGCGAGCTCAAGATCGTCTTCTGCCCCGATTCTTCCGACTAGTCACTTGCTACCACACACACTAGGCTAGCTAGACCGGCTGTGTGTCACTCACGATGCCGGTTATATAATAAGCTAAGCGATTGATTGCTGATTCGCTAAGCCAGATTCAACCGAATAATATGTTAACTATTCTTCTTCCGCTTGGACTGATCTTGAGCACTTGACCCGGTCTGATTGATCTCGCCATGTTTAGCATAGAAAAACAAGGAAAATAAACCGTAGCAGGCTTAGTTTGTGTTGTTGCTACTAGCTTCCAAGCACAAGGGAACAGATGCAGGTCGCCATCAGTGGCATCAGCGACGCGCATCGACTATCGACCGTGCAGCTTCGTAACCATCGTCGCTCTCGGGTTGTCCGGTAGCTTGCATCTGTCGACCGATTAATGTTCCGTCCATGGCTCATTCCACCTCGATCGGAGCTTCCTAGCCTAGGTAGTACGTAGGTACACACATCACATGAAGTGGTTCAACATGAGCTCGTCCACGTACAGGTCGCCGGTGTTCATCGGCCTCCTGGTGGTGATGTCCGTGGCCTTGGTGCTCCTTCTGCACCACTGCATCCTCGTCAGCTGCTGCAACGGCGAGAGGATCCGCAGGCGCAGCCGCCGGCGAGGTGCCACGGCGCGGCAGCATGAACAGCAGCCGGAAGAGAGCGTGGGCGACCTGAGCTCGTCGTCGCGGGTGCAGCTGGTGGCGAAGCCGGTGGTGTGCCGGTACCGGAAGGACGAGGAGTGGAGCGAGCCGACATGCCCGGTGTGCCTTGCGGACTTCGCGGACGGCGAGGCGGTGAGGGTGCTGCCGGAGTGCCTGCACTACTTCCACGCGGACTGCATCGACACCTGGCTCCGCGCCGGCAACACCAGCTGCCCGATGTGCCGCGCCGAGACCACGCCCACGCCATCGCCCAGCCCCGCCGGGTCACTCCACCACCAACTCTCCCTCGACATCTCCCTCGAGGACATCCTAATCCGCACGTAGAGATGGACGGCCGGCGGTGAACAGGAGGAAGAAGCAGAGTGTATGTGTATGTACTACATTGCTCTGTTTCGCTTCTAAATTCTAATCCGCACGTAGAGATGGGCGGCCGGCGGTGAACAGGAGGAAGAAGAGGTAGTGATCGATTCTTTTGTTAGAATTCGTTGAAGAAATACTGATAGTGTTGTGTGATTGGCACTAACTCTTTATTCGCTCTTAATTAAGAGTAATTCTGATATTTGAGAAGTTAATCTGCATATGAGATATTCTTCATTTCCCCCCATGTGAACTCACATTTTATGCTCATTTGATAGTAGTCACTTGGCTGATAGAATTTCAGCTCAGGATGTTGACAAGCTTATTAGAGACAATGGAAGAGTTACGTAAAGCTGCATGTTCTATGGAACGTAATAGCCTGATGGTTTTCTCATAGAGTTTTACCAGAAATTCTAGAGTTTGATAAAATGGATGCTTGATGATTTCCATAGAGATAATATCAACATTGCTAGGCTGAACGATGACATTATTACTTTATCCCTAAAACAAAAGAAGCCAAGGAAAAAGGAAATATGAAGACTTATATGTTTACTTAATGTTAGTTATAAAATTTCCACTAAGATTCTCATAAACAAACTTAGTGAGGTGGTGGGCTCTTCAATCCCCCCTATACAAACTGCTTTTACTAAAGACATGTATATTATGAAAGATGTCATAATTTTGCATGAGGCTACCGATACTATGCATGTTAAAAAAACAGAGTACTATTCTTTTCAAAGTTGACTTGGAGAAAGCATATGATAAAATCAGATGGTCTTTTGTTCCTAAGATGCTCTCCTTGAAAGGATTCCCAGATAGATGGAATGACTGGATTATTGGGACCATGTTGGAACAGAAGTTAATGACTATGCAAGTCCTTATTTTAATACTTTTATTAAAGGATTAAGACATGAAGATTCCATGTCCCCTTTAATTTTGATTTAGAAGCATATGCCCTGCTATTAATATGGATAATGCAAAAATATTGGGGTAATGGGGTTGTTAGGGGGTGCTAGAGAAAACTAGAGAAGGAGGGGCGAATATGTTGCAGTATGTAAATGACACGGTTTTCCTCCTGCATGCTGATATTTCTAGTGCTTAAAATCTTAAAATCATTATGTGCTTTTGAACAAATGTTTGGTTTCAAAATTAACTTCCTCAAGAGTGAATTTCCCTCTTTGGTGAAGCTACACGCGCATAGACACACACAGAGAGAAGAGAGAGATAGTTAATAGAGAGATTTTTACTTGTCAAGTGGGCGACTTACCTATGAAATATTTAGGTATCACACTTTAAAAATTAAGTATTAAACATAAAGATTGGAAACTGTTTGAAAACAAGAAAAAATGAAACTAGGTGTGCTTATTGGCAACTGATAATGCTTAGCACTGTTGGTAGGCTTGCTTTAGTGCAGTCTCCCCTTAGCAATATCCTCATTTTTATTATGTCCTTCTATCATATTCCCATACGGGCAAGGACTCCTTATCTTGTTATATAGAAGACCAAGATGGCTTATGACACACATCTTGCCTGTGTGTTAGCTCCCAACTTTCACGCGGCGAGTATACAGATTCTTTGCCCACGGTTCCTGCTCCGAGGAGGGGAGGGCCGATAGCTGGTGCTGATCGACGAGCACGAACACGTCGTTCACTCGCGCGGTTGGCGTGGTAGTAATCTTTTGATGGAGAGAAGGCTGTAGTTGGATTCATGTGCCATGTTGCCCGGGTTGGTGCGGTTCGGGGCATTGCGGTACATGAGTCAAAAGCGCACGTCGTGCATCTCGAAGTGGTTGAGGGCGGATGATGCATTGACTCCTCACTTTCAATTCCCCTTGTGTGTCAAGTGCTCAAACATTACCAAATATATACCCGTAACCACGTCAATGCGCACACACAAACCTAACACTTGCACAGACATGCCCATAAAGCACACATAGCCGTTGCGGCCTCTGGTCGATGTTGGGAACCATTGCATGAAAAACAAAAAATATTTGTACGCACATGCAAGATCTATCCATGGAGATGCATAGCAACGAGAGAGAAGAGTGTGTCTACGTACCCTCGTAGATTGTAAGTGAAAGCGTTTAGTAACACGGTTGATGTAGTCGAACTTCTTCGCGATCCAACCGATCGAGTACGGAACGTACAACACCTTCGCGTCCAGCACACGTTTAGCTCGATGACGTCCTCTACCTCCTTGATCCAGCAAGATGGCGAGGTAGTGGATGAGTTCCGGCAGCACGACGATGTGGTGACGGTGATGATGAAGCTATTTCCATAGGGCTTCGCCTAAGCACTATGAAAATATGACTGAGGGTGTAAAAGGTGGAGGGGGCGCCGCACACAGCTAAGACCATGTTCTCTTGTGCTAGGCACTGTTGACACACGAACACGTCACGTGTACCCTCGACACCGGGGGTGATGCACTGCAGCTCACGTCGAAGGAGACCCGACCGACAGGGCGATACGCAAGACAGTCGGCGGGTGCTTTTTAGACCCGAAACCCCGCACACCCAAGAGGGGCCTCGTCAGGGAGTGCAGCGGCAATGGGCTACCCTAGGTCGATTCTCTCGCCCCTAGAGCCTTGGGATTCGCAGCTCTCAAACTCGAGAACACAACGAAGAACGAGAGAGAAAAACGGTGGAGAGATAAAACGTAGATGAAAAAGTAGTATATTGATTTGCTCGATTGTGTGTTATTCAATCGGCCGTCACCCCCAACATATATAAGAGGCGTCTCGACTTCCCGTACAAGTAAAGGATTCATCTAGACTTTCCTTACAATAAAATTACATCAATTCACATCCTACAATTCTAATTCCAATCCAACTCGGATTCAACCCGAATCTGGCCCAAACTTCTGTCTTGTTTCTTGCACAGGCCGTGGAATTTTTATATGACCTTCGATTGAGAAGATCAAAATACCAAATTTGGGTGCCTCGACGAGATGAAAAACTCTCTTGTTGATCATTTTTCCCAATGAGGTCATCTTCAATATTTTGCGAGGTCATCTTTAACTTCCAGTCGGATTTGGTCATGCAGTTTTCTTGGCTGTCCGAGTCTTGCAACAACTCTGCAGGCTCTATACTATCTCAGATGATAATGACTCCAAAAGCAAAGTTTACCGTTTCGATGATAAGCACAACTTCCGAGTAGAACATTTTTTCATCTGAGGTCATCTGAATAACCTTTCGAGCCAATCTCCAACTTCTGGTCGGATTGACTCTGACAGCCTCCACCCCGGCAAGCTTTCCACACCGGCAAGGTTTCTACCCGGCAAGCTTTCACTGCGGCAAAGTTTCACCCCGGCAAGGTTTCTACCACGGCAAGCTTCCACGCCAGCAAGGTATCCACCGCGGAAAGCTTTCCACGCCGGCAAGGTCTCCATCCCGGCAAGCTTCATTCAGCCGGCAAAGGCCGAATAACTCACGCGACTCATCAGACAGGGTGCCTGGTACCTCGCGTCATATTTCCGTTTAGGTTCGGTCTGCACTGAATTGTCTCTAACTTTTGCATACGAACTCGGATTGAGACGATTTATATATCAGAATCAATTGCCTCGACGAGACGAAGACAACTCGTGTAGATCATTTTTCCATATGAGGCCCTATTGGGGGCGTAATCAGCCGAATAGTGTTCTGAATACAAAAGCTCAGTACTTCGAACACAACTTCTGCCTTAGAGATGAGATCGGTTGGCTATGGCCCAAATACCAAAGTTTCTCCTTTTGATGTTACGTAACGTTCTCACTTTGAGCATTTTCCATTTGAGGCCATCTTAATTGTGTTTTTTACCATGCCAAAATCTGGTGTCAACACATCCCCCCCCCCTATTTTTGGGCAAAGCTTGTGTGCCGAAAAATAACTTGTACCTTGTTTGTTCTAAGGACGATGTCAACACTCCATCGGCCATTTTTTTCTCAGGGCAATAATTATGTATCCGCCATGTTTGTGCTAAGGGCGATAATCGTATATCGGCCATTGCCGACTTTAGGCTTCCTGCCACACACTCGGGTGGTATTTCTTCAAGTACTTGCCATTGAGAGCTCGAGGTAACAATGCCCCTTGTATGGATTCCACCAAATATGAATTTTCAGAAACTACTCTTGCGATCCTCAAAGGACCTTCCCAACTTGGAGACCACTTCCCGAATTTTCTATCTCTTGAACCAATCAGTAGAATCACTTTCCAGACGAGATCGCCAACTTGAAAATTCTTCAACTTAACTTTCTTATTGTAAGCTCTTGCTACCCTCAACTTGTCCCTCTCTATGGCCTTCAAAGCAGCCTGTTTATCGGCAACCTCATTAATATTGTCCATCATCAAGTTATAAAAGTCTACTGCCAATAAATCATTTTGTTTGGCTATTCTCAAAGCATTCAAATTTACTTCCACCGGTAAAACAACCTCTTGACAATATACTAGCTCATATGGAGTCACCTTCATAGCACCATGCCTTGAGATCCTATGTGCCCACAAAGCTTCAAACAACAACTCATGCCATCTCCTCGGATTATCCTCAATCTTTTTCTTGCTAGACTCAGCTTGTCCATTGTCTTGGGCATAATATGGAGAGGAATTGAGCAACTTTATGTTATAAGATTCGGCAAATTCTCTGACTTGGTGTGACATGAAAGATGAGCCTTGATCTGTAGTCAACGTTTGAGGAATGCCGAATCTATGAATAATGTGCTCGGTTATGAATTTAATTACCTCCGTATGCGTCATGTTCTTGAGAGGTACTGCCTCAGACCATTTAGTGAAATAATCGGTTGCCACCAACATGAACCGATGCCCTTTTGAGGAAGACGGGTGAATTTGTCCGATAAAATCTAAGCCCCGTCCTCTGAATGGCCAGGGTTTGACAATACGATGTAACATAGCAGCACGAGCCAATTGAATATCACCAAATTTTTGACAAGCCTCACACCCTTTGTAATATCTGAAGAAATCATTAATCATTGTCGGCC